AATAATATCCTTTCTAGAAGAAAATCTACTATCCTGAGCTTGTCTGGCATTCATGCGACTCCAATTTTCCTGCTTTTTTCCCCCATTTTTGAGCCTCTCATGCTTTGACGTTTGAATTGCTTATCTAACTACTCCTTAAATTTTCTATGTTACAACAATGACTAGACTTCAAAGATACTTCTCTTTTGGCTCTATTCCTTGCTCAAATGAGTCAGTGTGCATTATACGTTGGGAGAGGCAATAGGGTAGTGGTACTGCCACTGGACTGGTAAATGTTGAGGGATCCCACCTCTACTAGCTTTTTAGGCAGAGAGTTCCAGATACTCACCATTCTTTGAGTGAAAAAGATATTTTCCTCAATTCGCCTCTAAACTTCCTGCTCCAGACCATAAAACTCTGTTCTTGATTATTAACCCCTCTACTAAGAAGAAATATTTCTTTCTATTCACTCTGTGACTCTCATAACTTTATACACCTTAATCAGATACCCAATCAACATCCTTGGGTTATTATTGACCAGAAATTGAACTGAATGAGCCATATAAATAATATAGTGAAGTCTTGTGGCACAGTGGTAGTGCCCCAATCTCTGGGCCAGTGGATCCAGGTTCAAGTCCTACCTGCCCCAGATAAGTGCGATTGTATGTCTGAGCAAGTTGATTAAAATAAATACAAATACCATGGCCACAAAAGCAGGTCAAAATTAAGGAATCCTGCAGCAGTTAACTCACCTCCTGACTCTCCAAAGCCTGTCCACCATCTACAGGCACAAGTCATGTGTGTGATGGAATACTCCCCACCTGTTTGGATGGGTGCAGCTCCAACACTCAAGAAGCTTGACACCATCAAGGGAGAAGTGGCCAAGTTGATTGGCACCATGTCCATAAATATTCACGCTTTTACCTTCAGCACATAGTAGCAGCAGTGTGTACCATCTACAAGATGCACTGCAGAAATTCACCAAGGCTCCTTAGACAGCACCTTTCAAACCCATGACCTTGATCGAGAAGGACAAAGGCACCAACTGCAAGATCCCCTCCAAGCCATTCATCATCCTGACGTGGAAATAGATCACTACTCCAAGAGTGTCACTAGAGTGTCAAATCCTGAAACACGCTCTCTAACAGCATTGAGTTTAGCTACAATAAATGGACTACAATGGTTTAAAAAGTCAGCTCACCATTAGCATCTCTAAGGCAACTTGCGATGGTCAATAAATGCTGCCCAGCTAATGACTCCGACATGAATAAAGTAAATTTTCCTAATGTGCAAAATGACCATAAAAGAACTTACACCAACAATATTCTGACAACATTGCATGTGGAGCAGAAATCAGAAGCTACTAGGTCAGAAAGCCTTCAATCAGGAAAAAGAATGGTTCCAACAAATCTTCAGCATCCCTGTAGTTTTGTGATCAAAGTTCAAAGAATAATGGACCGTCAGGAAAATCATGACAGTCAGTTGCTTAAGATGGAACTGGCAGGTGTCACATCATGGATCATACAAAATTCACTTGCATTTATACATCACACACAGAAAATATTCCAAGGCACTTCACAGGAAAGTTATCAAACAAATGTGACACTGAGCCATCTAATTACATAACAGAACAGGAGGAAAAAGTCTGGCCAAAAAGGTAAACTTTAGGAAGGTTCTTAAAGTGAGACAGAGAGGTACTGGGGGAGAATTCAAGACTCAGGACCTTGGTAGCTGAAGGCATGGTCACCAAAGGTGGAGAGATTGCGATTAGGGATATACAAGAGGCCATATTTGGATGAATGTGCAGATTTTGGAGAATTATCCACCTGGAGGAGATTACAAAGATAAGGACAGGTGAGAGCAGAGAGGGATTTGAAAACAAGGGTGCGAATTTTAAACCTTCAGGTTAATATAGGGCATGGGACCAACGATTGTAGTGGAGTTACGGTCTTGGCAGCAGATTTTTGGATGAGAAGCCAATGTAGCATTTAGATAACACACAGTGCCATATAGCAGGATTGAGGCTTTGAAACAGCAAAATTCAAGTCATACTTAACAGTGGGAGAGGGATTGAAGTCACCCTGTCATGAGTTAAACATACCAGAAACTAGTTTAGCTTGTTTAGAAGGATCAGCACTTTGAGCCTGTCTAAGATTAGGCACATACTTGTTGGGCAGCAATGGCACAATATTTACAGGGGAAGTAGAGCAATAGGTGGGGATTCTGGTTTATACAGATCTCTGTTGATAACATGATCGTTTTAGAATATCTGTACCTCTTGAAAAAAGAATTCGGTGTCATCTTTGTTATCTGTTTATAACAATATCCAAAATTCAGAAAATACTTTTATGTATTTGGGACTGAGGTTGTTTTTTTTTTGGGGGGGGGGGCGGCGAGCAGCGAGATATTGGAAATTAACTTGGCTAATAAAACAATTACATCAAGCGTGAACGCAGAAAGTAAAAAGGAAGTTTAAAACGAGTAGCCACAAATATGAGGTGTTAATAAATCAAATAAGGAATTCAGAGGCAACTTCTTTTTTCAGGAATAGTGTTAACATGTAACTCACTGCCATAGGCGTAATGGAGGTGAGTAATGTAGGGACCTTTATCAGGAAGATGCATAAACACAAGGAAGGAATGAAGAGAAGGATCTGCTGAGGGTTAGACCAAAGTAGAATGGGAGGAAACTTGTGTGGAGCAAAAACACCACAGACATGTTGGGCTGAAAGGCTGATTTTTATATTATTAAACCAGTAAGTGATGACGAGCTGGCAATCTGCTGCAGCAGTCTTTTTAACTGCATGGCACTGGGTTTTATTCTATTGCACACTGATATGGATGAAATGTTCCAAACTGCAAACTATAATCAGCACCATGTGAAGTTACTTTGTGAAAATTCCAACCCAGGACCAAAGAATCACGAGTACACAATGTCTACAATTTGAAATTAAATGTTATTAGTCACACTCCACTGATAGCTGGCGTATTGGTACAACAGAGGGAGATTTAGCCTATATCACCCGAGCTGTACGCCGAGGTGCTTAATGGGGACGTATAGCTAAGTGATCTTGAAGTGCATTGTCAGTGTCCTTACCTCTGAGCCAGGAGGCCCAGGTTCAAGTTCCACCTGCTCCACTGGTGTGTAACAACAGCTCTGAACAAATTGATCAGAAAATATCTCGGAGCTTCTCTCTGTATATCAATCCCAGCAGTACCCGTTATGGGAGTGCTTAATGGGACAGGATAGAGGAATTGAAGGTAGCAACTACAAAATAGTGCTTACAATTTACTTGAAGCTGGAGGAATGCTCTGAACACTGGAATAACATCCTTAACCTTTAAAGATGTGCAAAAGCAGCAGGGACTGAAACTTACAATCCATTTAACTGTATTACAGTGACAACAAAACATTCCCAAAGACTATCATTACTCTCAGCAACTGTGTAACCATCAGCGTGGCCAAAAGGAAAAGAGACGCAAGAATGACTGTTTGGAGATGGGTTATTGTTCAGAAGCAGGAGTGTCGGCTTTTGCTCTTTGCAGGTATGCATGAAACAATTGCAAGAATCAACCCAAGCGCTTTCCTTTCATCAATGGCATAAACTCTTGCTGCGCAATGAATCCACAGGACTCATTACCATTCAGCAACTTTTGAGATTTTCAGTTGAGGTAGCAACTCTTGGAAGATTCCCCACTGCATGGTGATTCACAGCAGTCTCCAATTCCATCTTCACAAGACATTCCTATACTTTCACTTAGGGAATGGAATAGAGGGAACCAGAAATTCATTGACCTTGACCCAGAACAGAAATCCTGGCTACACCCACGCTCCCCGGAAACAGAGATTCTGCAACTGCTGTCCTCAATCAGTTTCATCTACACAGAGGACCCAGCCATGTCAGTCTTATGAACTGAATAATAAATGTAATTTTATATGGTATAGCCTGCTGATCACAAGGCTCTTCTTATTTTGATTATCTCGACTTAAGCCTTCTCCAGTTTAAAAACTGAGAGATAAGGATAGGTTATAAAACTGGACATGGTGAAGCAAAATTTCAAGATTTGATTATGAAGATTAATATAAAACAGCTGGAAATGCCCCACAAGACAGAACAGCCCAAGACGAATGACTGTCCTAAAGTTTATGTAAAACTCTTTGGGAACCTGGAAAACCAACAATTTCTGTTCTCAGTTTTCTCTCTGACAGAGTTCATCCACTGTGTGAATCATTCTTTGATACAGTTACTGAGTAGATTTTAAAAAAAAGCTTAGATGCCCTTTGCCCCACTTCACCTCAGGCAACCAGGTCCGAGCAACACCGCAATAGTGAACGTGTGAATATTAGCTCACTGTATTGTGAAAGACACAATGAATACTACACTCAGCTTTTAAACTACCCATTGCATCTGCAAAAAAAAAAAAAAAATTGTACAATGAGGGTAAAGCACTCTGATTACAGGTCTATAACTGGGATGGAGATGGGATTGGCATAAATTTTCACACAAGGCAGCACAAGGTCCATCAGTAAAATGTATAACCCTGGTTATAACACCAGAGAATTAAACCAGGCAAGGAATTTCAGCTCTACCAAATCCTCTGATGATCACCCCTTCTTGCTTTGTCAGACAATGGCCATCGGTCTTATATCCTACCAGCCACATCATATCGACTGTAACCAAGAAGGGCAGAACCAAGGAGGGCAAAACCTTGAGGTTCTAGTCCTGGCTTGCAATCTCTCAAGCCATTTACGTATACACTGGGCAGATCTTTTTTGGACATCACACTGGGGCTGAATAATGCTTCTCACTGCCACTCTGAGGATCACAGGTAACCAGTGCACATTTCACTGTCATACAGGCCCTGCCACAGGGAAATCCTCACGACTGGCTGTGCATGATTTAAGCCACAGATACCTTGTTAACCATAACAACATTATGATGCAACCTTGGTCTATCCCAATACAAAGATAATCCTCATGAGAAAACACAATGGAGAACAAAAACATCAGCAGTAAATACAATTAAGATAAATAACACATTCATTTAATCATTTCTGTACATTACTCAATGTTTCTAACATATGACTCAATGGTGTGCTTCAATCTTCCAAACTCCATTTCTCAATCAAGCCAGGTATTAACCGAATGAAAACAAGGATGAGGAGGAGGACAGGGCACAAACAAAATCTCCAGGGCAAGCACCAGCAGAACAACTTAAAGCCTGCTTCAAAGGAAAGGTGCCTTGGTCAGAGAACAGAGCAGGATCACTTCTGCGGCTGCTACCCACCCAGCATTGCTTGTCCTGGGACAAATACCACCTCTGGTCTGCTTGCTGCGTTAGCATATCTGAGAAATATTATCAGCAACAGGGGTTGAGCTTATAAAGATTATTGTTCTCACAGTCCTTGATTGGGCATCACCCTCAGTATGTACAGCAATATTATAAAATTTCCACATTTCTAAACAGGATAATATAAATTGTACATCGGGGAAATTTCTGACTCGACCACCAAGCAAAAAGTGCAAACCATTTTGTATTTCAGTGCTTGTACCGTAGTGCTCACAACATCTTGTTTGCCTCCATGCTGGGTTCAATGTTCAGAGGGTTGGGCTGATCAGCTGCTTTCTTCTGCCTGGGAGGTGTGGGCGGAGGGAAGACCAGTGTCTTTGGCCCTTCAGCCATGCCCATCCACTGTCGATCTTCACCCTGTGTTAGCACTTTGGTGAGTAGTGGCCGCAGCAACCCAACGGTCAGCTGGTTACCATCACTCGAGTACGGCCGAGATTCACAGCTCGAGGGCACAGATCCCAGGACGACGTCCAATATGTCTGCAGCCGTGGTATCCTCAGGGCACAGCTCCCAAATCTCCTCCAGGTAAGGATCCAGAGCTCGGTGCTGGGAGACCTGGACCAGCATGGCAGCAAAGAGCTCCTTTTTTAGCAGAGGCCCTTGTTGCGAGAACCTGCTGGTGGCCTGTACTGCCCTTTGCCACATTCCCCGCTCAATCAGAAGCCGAACCGCTTGGATTATTGCATTTGGCCTCTTGCTGCACAGCAGGAGTTCAATGATTGTTTCGGTGGGATCTCCAGCCCCACCAGTGCAGGCAGATGGGATGACTGACAAAGCCCTTTTGTATAGGGGAATGTTCTCCAAGCTCTCACTGTTCCCATAGTTCCGGAAAGTGGCCAGGTGCTGCTGTGTCAGCTCAATGAACATTGGCAGCCACTTAGGATGGAATTGGTACAGCAGACGACAGATCAGTTCGAAAACTGGAACTGCTCCATTGGCGGTGGGTGACTGGTCTGGTGGGAGACCTGGGCTCAGTATCACTCTCCATAGGTCAGCTGTAGCTCTGGCAGAGAAGGATCCTTCACTATTCTGGTGCAGGTGCAGTGTCCGTTTAACAGCCTTCCATGCTTCCCTTGGGAATGTGTTGAAAATGGAATTTAAGTAGACCAGAGCTTCTCTGTCAAGCTGGCAATGCAGCAACCTCTGAATCTCCTGTTCAGTTATTTCCTCTACGTAAGCAGCCACCTCAATCTCTGAACCATTTACCAAGCAGGACTTGGCTTCCTCTAAGTTGACATAGCTTTGTATTTCCCCAGCCATGATGTTGTGCAACTTGATATAGGTTTGCTGATTATAGTGGCCAGTCTTCCTGAGATAGAATTCATTCTGCAAGATGGAGCAGAGGGTAAGAGGTGCTTGGAACATTGCCTCACTTTTCAGCTTCTGCACTGTTAATCTGCTGCGGCTCAAGCTCCTTTTCTGGTAATACTTGCAGGCTTCCTCCAAGACCAGCTGCTCCAGCATCTCCTGGACCTGGCTGCTTCCTGAACAGAACCCCAACTTGATGTTAGAGTTACCGGGGTGAATACCAAGGGAATAAATGCCGTCCTCTACCAGCAGTTGGATCTCGCCCGTTTCCCAGTAGGGTATGAGGGCCAGCGGCTGGACTTCCAGAGTTGCCTCCTCCACCAACCTACCTGTCTCAGTGTCAAAATGTTGTAGCGTCCTGCCCAGTGTACAGGCCAGAGTAGTCCCACATAGTTCCATCATCATCGAGCCCTCAGCTGCTGGGCTCTGGCTCAAGTGGCACAAGAGCCGAACGGTCCCATCATTTTGGATCAAGCTGACTTCTCCGCTGGACTCAGCCACTAGAAGCCCAGTAGGGCAGGGGGACACCGCCCGGATTTCCAGCAGCGGGAGGGAAGGCAAGATGCCGGCAACATCCGCCACAAGCCTCGTGAAATCAGAGTCCTCGTAGAGCAGCCTCCTGGTGCTGAGGGGTCCTCGGGCCAGGCAAGTGACAGTCAAGGTATCTTCTTGGGGGCTCCAGATTAGGATGAACTTGACCAGGTTGTGCATGGAGCAGTTAGTAGGGATGTGGCAGTTGCTAGGGCTGGGGCAGTTGCTGGGATTGTTGCTATGGATGGAGCTGTTGCTAGGGATGGGGCAGTTGCTAGGATTGTTGCTATGGATGGAGCTGTTGCTAGGGAAGGGGCAGTTGCTGGGATTGTTGCTAGGGATGGGGCAGTTGCTAGGATAGGGCCTGATGCTGGGGAGCAGGTAGACGGCCTCGCCGGCCGCATACAGCCTGTAGGCCGGGCTGTTGTGCATGAGGGTGCGGACAGGCCCCAGGGTGAGGCCGGGGCCCAGGCTCCGGCTGCAGATGCAGTGCTGAAGGGGTGCGGAGGGCTGGGGCCTCTCTTCGCACCAGCTGATGGAGTGCCCGTCCCAGGCGGCCGACAGCAGCCGAGCCTGGGGACTGGAGCAGAGTTCGGCGGCCTGCAGCAGCTGCCAGCCCACGGCCTCCCGGTAGTTCCAGAGCTCGGTCCGACCGCGCTGGGTGATGAGGGCGGCGGTGGAGCTCCCCGACTCCCCGCTCCCCGGGCCAGGCCTCTCCAGCTCCAGCACGTCCAGCAGCTGCTCGGGCCCGGGGAAGCTCCTGTCGAGGGGTCTGGGAGCCGGGCCTCTGGCCGGGCTGGGCTCGAAGCTCAGCAGCCGGTTGTCCCGGGGCAGGTGGAGAAAGAGGCGGCGGCGGGAGCAGCAGCGGAGCCGGGCACGGGGCTGAGACTCCTCCCGGGAAGCCGCCCCAGACCCCGGCCGCAGGAACTCCCGCAGTTGCTGATGCCGAGAGTAGCGGCTGAGGCCGGAGAGGCGGCGGAGCCTCATCCCGCCCGGGCCCGGGGACATGGAGACTCTGCCCGTTGTCGGTGTCTGTCTCTCTCAGTCCCTTACTCCGGTGTCTAGATTTCTATCGCTCCTCACTTCTCTGGATCTGAGCAGTTTCCGGGTCAGAAGCTGCATCCAATCAGCCGGCACAGGATGATCCCAGTCAGCCCAGCCCCTTCTCTGCACTGACTCTGAAACCACTTCCACAGACTGCTCTGCAATTATTTTCTTCTTCTTTTGGAGTATTTATTAGGTGTGTTTTTAAAGTTTCCATTGAATCTGTCTCCACCATCTGCCTTTCAGACAACACAGCCCAGATTATCAAATCTCGCTGTGTCCAAAAACGAGTTCCCTTTTGGTTCACATGCCGATCACTTGAAACCCCTCCTTTATGACTGGCCCTTGGCCTCAGGACCCTGCAATATTCATTTACACGACACATTCAGATTATATTTACTTTATGCAAAATCGTATTTACAGGGAGCCAGTACGGATTTGACGAGCTGAATAGCTTCAAGTGCTGTAACTATTCTGTGATTCTACACACAAATACATGCATTGAGTAAGCAATTTAAACAATTCAAATATTAAAAAAAAGTGTACATTCCTAAATGTTTACAATGATTTCATGGATTTCACAGTACTGAAATACACCATTTAACCCAGTGGCTCATGCCAGCATATCTCCTTCCGCCCACTCTTTTAGCATATTCATTTATTCCTTTCATTTCCACATTTATCTAGCTTCCCCTTAAATCCAACTCTGCTATTCACATCAACCACTGTTAGTGAGGTCCACATATTCATTACTCACTGGATAAAGACATTTCTCCTGAATTCCCATAGAAATGTATTTATTAGGAACTATCTTTTATTGATGACTGCATGTTTTGGATATTTTCCTCTTTTATTCATATTTCTTTACAGAGTATACAATATTTATATTTAAAAAAAATCATTTATGCAATGTGAGCATTACTGGCTGGCCAGCATTTGTTGCCTGTCCCTAATTGTCGATATATAATTAAACACACAAGATCTATTATGTAAATAGGAATGCATTCATAATTACTGTAAATAAACAAATAATCAGCATGTCAAATTGCTGTATGCAAATTATTTGTGATATTTCTTTTATTTTGTTTCAGGTGTGGACTGTGGAAAAATAACATTTATTTCTCATCCCTCATTCCTCTAACAATGGTGAATTCTCCAAGTTACAATTTCCTCTGAAAACGGTCACCACATTCACCTACAAAATAAAAGTTGCAATATTCTAAAATGATTCATTTTTATGCAAAGTGCTTTTGAGACATTTCTGAAAGACATATCAAGGCTGCCGCTGAAACAACAAAATTCTGTCAAAGAGGAATGGTGGTGCACTTTTGGTTGTTCATGTATTCTTATTTAACATTTAGTTAATATCCAGCTTGGGAGCAGGTATTTTGTAATCATAATCAGAATTTACACTGAGCTCAGGTCTTTGAGTTAGTCCATTCTTAGGAGAAACTGGTGAACGCAGAATTAAAATTGAGTCCAAGCAACCACTTCCTAATCATAACACTTCCAATTTATGGGGCAATCATCCATGAACAGGAAATGAGAAACATCATGATTTAGTGGAACTGGTTTAGCCAAATATCAATTTCTTCTTGTCATTTCCTCATTCAATTATATCCAAATTTGCAATATTTCAGCAGCAACTGACTGCTACAATATTTACTTCTGCACGAATTCTATTCACAATTTATTCAATGGAATGATTCCTCACATGATTTTAATGAAAAATGTATTTTCATATAACTACTTTTTAATATGGTAATACAACACAAGGTACTTAGGATTATTAGTAAACATTGATCCGATCCTCCCCAGTGACTATTTCAGGGGTGAAGCAGAACAGTTTGCACCCTCAGTGATCTATTTGATAAAAAGTTAAGATGATGTCTACATTTCATCACAATCAGCAAAACTATTTCCACCTATGTTACAACTTTTCCCAGCCCATTTGTTGCCTAAACTCCCAGTCTGCAGTCTGTGTCCTCACTGGCCTACATTGGCACTCAGTCAATAATATGTTTTACCTTTTAAATTGTCATTTCTGTTTCAAGTCCTTCTATGGCCTTAGCTCTTCTGATATCTGTAATCTCCTGCAGCTCCATAAATCAATGATCTTTGCTAATAGAAGCCTTGAGTCTTCCACATTGTAATTGCTTGCCTATTGGTGGCAGTATCCACAGTTATCTCTGTAAACCTTTCCACTCTTCTAACTAAAATAAATCCTTTAAGATGCTCTGTACAAAACTACCTCATTCACGAATCTTTGGTCACCTGTCTCATACAGCATTTTTTGCAAAGACACTCAATGCAGCAGACAATGACAGTCTTCAACACAATGACTTGTGAATCTCTTTTAATGAGATACCTACACTCTACATAAAAGTTTTAACATGGTTAAGTTGTACATTTGTACAAAACAGCTTCCAGCTCCTAACACCAAAACCTAAATCATGGGGTTTTATCTTGAATGTCCAATTCAAATTTTGAGACCAGCTTCGTCATATCTAAACGTCATTATGAAGAGGAGCTTCATAGTATTACCTATGTCAACCGCGTCAGTGGGACCACAGCAATCAGCTACAGGTGGAAACCAACGTGACAGAGCAGCAATTATTTTGTTTGATAATGCTCCCGTGAAACACTTTGGGTTTTTTTATTCATTCGTGGGATGTTGGCCGGGCCAGCATCTGTCGCCCGTCCCTAGTTGCCCCTGTAGTTAATTACCTCCTGCTCCTGAGCTGTTTTAATAAGGCTAGATGATTGAAATTAGTTTTTGTTCAGGTTGGCATAAGTTTGGGTTCAATCCCGGCAGCCAATAATAACCGAGACAACAAGGTGCAGAGCTGGATGAACACAGCAGGCCAAGCAGCATCGTAGGAGCAGAAAGACTGACGTTTCGGGCCTAGACCCTTCATCAGAAATAATAACCCCTTCACCCATGTAGAGTTTCTCCAGCAATTTCTGTTTATGATCCTTCATCTACATTCCTCTATTTCTGGTTGCTGAAATTTAAAAAAAAACTGACGAAATCAAAAATCATCACAAATCAAATCATCCACAAAAGATCAAAAAAATCCATTGAAGGATCCTGCCTCAATAAGACCTCCCGACCAGTATCCCGGAAATCCGGGTTGAATCAATCTATTCAGATCGCATTCAGAAATTAATTTATTAGCTGAAGGGTGAGGACGTTAGATATTAACAGATGCACTGAGCAGTCATTTTGCGAAGTTGTTGGGAATAAAGAGGAGGATGAAATCTCGAACACAGACAGTCCGGGATGGGGATTGCCTTCTGAAAGGATTGTGGGATACTGGCAGACCGAGCCTGGAGGAGCGCCTCATTGGTGTGCCTTGCCGGGCATTGTGGGATACTGGAGGAGCGCGGCGGGTGGACCAAGCCTGTTGGAGCGGCGGGGTTGAGAATGGCAGTCTGTGAACGGAGGTCAGTTTGGTGACTGGAATGGGTGTGACAGGTAAGAGTTTCCAGGATCAGGGTTCGGGGAGTTGTTCCCCATTTCCTCTCCGGTAATACATTCAGCCCCTCAGCCGGGCTTCTGCAGTAGAGAGGGGTCAAGGTGAGCAGAAAAGGCAAGAGATTGGGATCAACAGGCCGCATTTTGTAATGAGAGCAAACAATGACAGTCCTTCAACACACCTACTTGTTAAAAAATTTAAATGAAATAGTTATAATCTGCATAAAAGTTTTAGTGAAACTGCCCCATAAATGTGAACAGAACAGCTTTCAGCTTCGAGTATCATGTGGTTTTATCCCGATTGTCCAATTATAAATCAAACTTTGAAACCGATTCAGATGTAGTAGGAACTGCCGATGCTGGAGTCTGAGATAACAAGGTGTAGAGCTGGATGAACACAGCAGGCCAGGCAGCAT